CCAACAAAGAAAGTTTCCCTCCATATAAACCTTTCCTTGACCCTCCACAACAATGAACTGATACTATATTTGTCCTTCTGTGACTGACTGATTTCACTCACCACAGTGTCCTCTAAGTCCATGCACACCATGTGGTCATGTGGCGCTTTGCAGACTCCACATCGCTGCTGTGTAGCACTCCGTGATGTGTGTGCACCACAGCTGGGTCACCCATTGCTCTGTTGATGGGCATGGAGGTTGCCTCCATCCTCTTGCCACTACAAACAGGGCTGCGAGGAACATAGCTGTGCATGTATCTGTTCCTGTCCTGGCTCTCACCTCTCTAGCATAGATATACCTAGTAATGGGATTGCTGGGTCAAATGGTATCTCCAAGTCCAGCTTTCTAAGGAATCAGATTTAAGGCATTTCTTGACTTTGGCCTGGTACCGTCTGCCCTTTATTCCACTCCAGCCCCTCGTGCACTTACACGGTAGGTATGTAATACAATTTGAACTTCAATGAAAGAGAAGCCACAGGGTCTTCAGTTTTACCAGTTGGACATAGTGTACATAAATGTGGAGGATCACAGTTCTTCCAGAATATCTGGCTTTTCATCTATTCCTATTCTGGTTGGTCATGCACAGCCTGAGTACAGAAAGTCCTACCATGTGTGCTTTACATGCACATGTGTACACACGCATGCATGAGATAAAAATGGCATCTTACTGAAGCAATGCTCGGCACAGGATTAAATCTTTATGGTTAATGTAAAAAATAATGGTGTTCATATTGTTAGATTATTTGAGGGTGACTGGTAAATAACACTCCTAATCAAGTTCTAAACCAACTTTGAAATAAGATAAAAGAAAGAAGCAGATAAAATGATAGTGAAGAATGTGGTTTATATCAATGGGTCCCCCTCCTAGAACTGAATTGTGCAATTAAACAGACTTACTCACCCAGGTGTGGGTAGCAGTGGGCTGCCTCAGGTCTCTGGGAGAAGACCTGTTTCAAACTGCAGCATAGAAGGAATGAGCAGAATGTATGCTTCCTGTGAGCAAGTACCATCACTCGTCCCGTCTGTCAGTGTGTCCTACTGTGGTGGCTTGCACATTGCTGTGAAGCTGGAGGCTATGGCACCGGTATTTCACATACCCAGTAGGGGCACCCATGGTGGACAGGTTTCAGCGGAGCTTCCAGACTGAGATAGACTTGGAAGAAGGAAAGGGCCATCCACTTCTTAAAGAATTGGCCAGTGAAAACCTTATGTAGCAATAAAACACTGTCTGATATATTACTGGAAAACTAAGCTGCCAAGAGCAAGTGCTGAACTTCTCAGTTGCATTTTCTCCTTTCAAACTCATAATAAGATGAGTTGTATAATCTCTTCAGGGGAAACGAGGGAATAAAGAGAGGTTGAGAGAGTAATGCCTGTAACATTTCTTCCACATGTAAGGTAATATCAGGAGCAGGGTGAACGCCTTTTCCCCCTTAATACTTGTATTTAAAACCTTTTGTTTGTAAATCTAGCTATAGGGACAGTGGTAAAAAATCATCATTATTGACCTTCTTGACGTTTCTTGTTTGTATTACCTAAGTAGTATCATAACTTTTCACACATGTTCTAAATTTCACAGAATTAGGTTGCTTGCTATAGAATATGGAGTTAGGAAAGAGTCTTTGGAAATATTAAGCACCAGAATTTCTTAAGCAAGAAAGAAACAGCGGTTAGTGTACTGTACAAGATAAAGTGTTGATGAGTGGTAGTGCC